CCGATCAATGTTTTGGAGCCTCAAGACATTAACGTTTGCACATATCAATATTAATTTTGGTACCCTCGAGACATTACTGTTTTCTAGTGCGTTAGAAGTTGCTCATTATACAGGTATATAGAGATGAAGGTTGTTTAAAGATGAACAACGAATGATCAATACTTAGGAAAGAGAGGGTCAACAGTCTCACTCCAAGCTACCAGTCCTCCTATGATATCTCGGATTACCACTTCTTCTCCGCGACCTTTGGCCTTTCCATGTTCACAGAGCAACTTAACGGCAAGTTGGGAATCGTTGCCACGACGACAGACTACAAACACGGAATCTACATGGAGTGGTGGATGTAGCTGGGGATGATGTAATAATGACTCACAGGTGGGGTCATTAGCTGTGGGTGTGGTTTCCAGTATCCACTCCCAGGTGGCATCCAGGGAGCCATTTTGGAGGTGGCACAGAGGAATGTCTGGAATGTGACATGTGGCTCAGGCAAAACCTGCTCTGATTTTCTTATGTACAAACACACACATGTTGTACTTCGGAACTGGGGTAGGATACTCCTGGAGTGGGGTAGGTGGCATATCTGGTACTCCACCTCCTCTCTCACATCCAACAGGAGGTGTGGCTTTCCTCCACTGACCACCTCGCTGTACTCCTGCAGTGACCACACCCCTGACCACACACCCTGCTCACCTTCGACCCCTCACCTGTGGACTCACTCGTAGTTCGGGGTCCAAAATATCTACCCTCTTATCCTATAATACTACATCAATGACATCATTATTACTTCATTCCTAAAAATACCTTGTCATCTGCTCTGGATCCACAGAATAGTTCATAGTCAATTAGAGCAGTAATTGAAGGGTTTTCCCCGCACACGGCACACTGGGGTTGACGTGGGCGGAGTCTAATTGTCCGAAACCCTCCACCAAGAGCATCAAACAGGAGGAGCTGCTGCGAGTACAGCGCTGCCGTCGTCAAGGAAACCACGGCTAAGTATACTTATTAATTAGTGGGTGTGGTCTGAGGATACGTTCCATTCCAGAGGCAATTTTGAGGGCCTCAAGAGCTTGCAGTGACCCTATGACCCCTGGAACTGTGGGACACGAGTTAACAGATTCTCACATTGTAGCATTCCAGTCTTACCCACACCAAGGACTCCACCCTCCGAGCAGTTAGTGACGGAGGCAGGAGGAGGGGGAGAGGGGAAGAGGCAGCGATAGCAGGGACCTCCTCTCCAACCGTACACCGTCAGTTGACCTTCGAATCTCAGAGCACTCCCCGAGACGAGTGGTTTCCCTAGCAACACACAGCCATCGTTCAGGAGGTATCTGCAGGACAATGAGTTAAGAGGGAGAGAGAAATGGGGCCTCTGACCTGGTGGCAACATTATCAGTGGCGTCCACGATGATGTCGTACTGCGAGAGGATGGAGAGAGCGTTGCTGCTGTCCAGGAGGACTGTATGAGTGGTGACTGATATGTGGCTGTTCAGTCTGTCAGGCAATCAGAGAGAGGGGGATAGAGAACACAATTGTGAGGTGCTTGATTATTGATTATCTTATTGAAAAGCCTTGAAAATTTCCATTGTGTCATAATTACCCCTTCACTGCATCACGTCCAGACTCAGATTTGGCCACACCCACTCTGTTCTCACAGTGCAGGACCTGCCAGGAGACCACCCTCTTGGTAGAGAGAAGTAAGGGAGAGAGAGAGATGGGCTTACTTGACGATGGAGATTACTCAACTCAACTCTGTCATAGTCCAGGAGCCCCAGCCTCCCTGAGAGAGAAGAGGGTATCACATGATGTCACATGATCTTGGATGACGTGTACCAATGCCTGCAGCTGCCAGGTAGAGTGCACAGGGGCAGCCAAGTCCCCCCACGCCTACAATTAGGACTGAGTTTCCCTTGACTGACTCCTGACCTGCACATCCAACACACATTGCTAGCAATGCTTCCTCTCTAAACCGTCCAAGTCTTGCCTCGTCTGCCCCACTCGGGGAGGATGAGCTGCCGACCATAACGACCAACCTCTTCCACGCTCAGCTGAGCCATGCTGAATCAGCGCTAACCTTTGAACTTTTACACGTGCACGGTTTAACCCCATCACCACGCAATTATATATTCGACCGGCAGAGGGGAGAATGTCGATCTTCACTCCCACCAACCAGATCAGGCTCACAAACGTGGCGACTGTACGCTACAAAAAAGGCGGGAAGAGGTTCGAGGTTGCCTGCTACAAGAACAAGGTTCTATCGTGGAGAACGAAAGTGTAAGTTGAGACAAGCCTCCAGCGAGTGAGTATTTAGCGTGGCTGCCCCCCAGAGAGCAGGACCTGGAGGAGGTACTGCAGACCCACACGGTGTTCACTAACGTGTCGAAGGGGACGGTGGCCAAGAGGGAAGACCTCCAGCGAGTGTTTGGAACTGACAACCAGACTGACATCTGTAAACTGGT